CATCTAAAATCAATTGGATGAAATAAATTAGTTTTATAAACAGATAATCCTGGGCCTGATAGAAGCTTTTTTTCAAGCATTTAAAGTTTCTTACAGTTGCCCCTGGCTACCTGCTCCCGAGCGCTCTTTGTTATTTGTCGAATAACTCAAAAAGTAATTATCGGTTCAACTTGAAATTTTCAGAGAATATTTTCAAGATATTACACTTAATGAAAAAATTGATTTCTTGAAACTGACTTCTGACTACCCCTAACCCCTTATCGAAGTTAGATGGAGGACTCGCATGTGGCAAGTTTTCGATGACTTCACGTCCTGTACTGAATGCTTTGTGCCACTCTTTTTCTTCTTTCTAATTGTTCTAAAACCTCTAACCTCTTATCGCTTACAATGTGCCAGATTTAGCGAAAACGAGAAAAAACGTTAACTTCCGTAGCACCGAAACTGTAATATCCTTCACAAAAACAAAAGATTCCATACAAGAACTGTATTTTAATTGGTCAGTTTGTATGGCAGCTAACTGCTATAGTGGTCCTATCTGAACAATAATTCGTGTCAAAATACATGTTCATATGGCAGCTATATGGTATAGTAGTCAAATATCAGCGGTTCCAAAAGATGAGCAGCTTCTTGGGGAAAACAGGACGTATGCAAAATTTCCGATCGATATCTCAAAAACTGAGGGACTAATTCGTGTATATATATAGACAGACGGACAGTTGAACATGGCTAAATCGACTCAGCTCGTTATGCTGATCATTTAAATATATATATATTATATATGTATATATTTTATGGGGTATCCGACGCTTCCTTCTGGGTTTCTCAAACTTCGTGACAAAATTAATATAACCTGTTCAGAGTATAAAAAGACATCCAAGTGTTGGCTTACTGCTTCCTTATGTCCAAATGTTTTCGATCCACATCACCAGCAAAATTATAAGTGTGACGCTACTTTAAAATACCTCACTTAAACTTATTTTTTATTAAAAATTTAAATTATTTCTTATTAATAATTAAAAAAATTTGGAAAACAGTTGGCCTCAAGGGCCATCCCTGCAACTTCCCTCTAATTTCATACGCTAACGTTCAAATTTCGCTTTTTTCACTGCTTTTGAGCTCTTCGAAATTTTTCGTTTTCGATATCTAGCAAGTAAATCAACCGATTTCGACCCGGTTTGCGGCAAACGATGCGTTTCTTCAAGGTTTAGAACTGATTAGTTTTTGGTGTCAATCGGTCAAGTCGTTTGGAAAAAAAACGATTTTTATTTTTATTTTTGAGATTTCTCGAAATCTACTGGTCCGATTGGGTCCAAACTTACACGAAATTCAAGTGCAATGAAACCCTTTGGAATGCCGTTTAGTTTATTCAAATCGGTTGAGCAGTTTAATAGTTATAAGAGGGTCACATACATCCACACACACACACATACATCCACACATACATACAGACATACGGACATCATCGTAGAAATGTTCGGGGAAGCTTCCTCGACCCTCAGAACGTCGAGATCTGTTGAGAACTCGATTTTTGCAAAATGGGGTGAAACCAATATCTTCCCGATTTTTAGAAAATTTTCCATTTTCTTAGCGGGAAGTTAAAAAGTACTTAATAATCAAAATATTATTGTTGCCAAAAGTACTATTTACGCCCGGATGCAAATCATAATCGTAACATTTAATGATAATAGCCATGACCTCTATAGTGGTTCTTTTTAAAATCACATAAGTACATTAATCAAGTAATAAAAATAGTACTAGATTAAAAATTTACCAAACAGGAAAAGTTTAGAAAATCCTTACGATCGCGCAGATGACCACAACTGTCATCTATAACAAATGATATTTTGTCCCGTATTCCCTTCAAAAACGCTTATTTTTCTAACTTTTTAAAAATTCGAGAGCATATTTATTGCTGGGTTACGTTTAAATCCCGTCTTGCTTATATTGCTACAATAATATTTAAGTATTAATTATGTAAAGAAACTTTGTACCAAAATATAAACTTTATAAAAATTCATGCGGAAATAACCCTTAATAACCATGTAAGGCCGCCATAGGCTGTGTCGAATATTTTCGAATAAAAAAAGAAAAGAAATTAAATAATTAACATTTAGCATTTTTTGTAACTCCAAATTTGTGAATTTTAATTAGTGGTTGCCACTGGATCTCTACTGTAGGGTTTAATTAAGTTAGCTTTAGGTCATTTAATTGTTTTGTTAACGCATTGCTGAGCGCTTTGTCCAACAATTGCAGTGCCACTTATGTATATGCCAGCGCTTTAGAAAAACATAAAACCCAGAACGCTATGTACAACAAAAGCAGCAACAACCAACCATAAAGAACATGGCATTTGAATAATAAACCCAAATTAATACACTTTTCTGCAAAAATTAAAAAGAGTTTTCAAATTCCGTAAAAAAATGTCATACCAACAAATAAGAAACTAAAGCCATTTAAAAAATAAATTAAAAAGCGCCATTAATAATTAGCAAAATGTTGAAAATTTGCAAAAACAATTTCGCTCAAAACAAAAAACTTGTAACCTTTGCCTCGTTCCTAGACGTCCAGCGAATAATTATTTATCAAGCATTGTTTTGTTAAAAATTTATTTAAAATCATAAAAAATACTTGTTCAACTTCCTTCATTAGAAATTCTCTACTACAAATTTAAAGTATCTTTATTAAACCTGTGCGCCTGTGTTCAAATTGGTTTTAAGATATTCAACTTTTGTTCTAAGAGGCAATTTAACGGCCCCAATTTTGGGTATACATTATGCTAACCTCGAACGATTGTGAGTCAAACAAACAACTGGTATAAACTATTTAGACTAGCATAAATACATAAAGATAGAATAGCAAGCGGTTATTTCTTTTTAATGAGGCATTAAATCCCTCTCTCATAATCAGTTCAACCCGATAACTTCCATGTTACTTTAACATTTTAACTTTTCGTAAAAAGAACAAGGCTCAAACAGCGAGCAGAGAAGTGGCGAATCGAAGTCAGCTAATAATCGACGTTGGTCCGATAAGCACTAAGCCTATCAAAGAAAATCAAATATTTGGCATGGTAATCTATTTTTCAAAATGAACTCTATTTAGTTCAATGCGTACTAAGCCTACCAAAAAAAATTAAAATTTTTGGAAAAATGGCAAGTTATTTTTCAAAATAAACTCCTTTTGGTTCGATGCACTTGGACCAGAAAAGTTCCAACTTTTTTAAGCCGTCTGAAAAAAAATGTTTTCTGGAGATTTCTAAATAAGTCGCTGTGGCGGAGATAACCTCTAATGGTGGATGGGGCAGCTGTTTGTAGCCTATTTCGAACAATTTGGTTATGGGGACGGATGATATGCAAGGGCAATAGGACAGTCTTCGCCCTTTTCGGAGCAGATTCGCCGTATTAAGTCCACTGTTCCAACTGTTTCTTGGTCTCTGGTGGATCATGTTTCGTTTAAAGCCTACTCAACCTTCATTTTGTGAAAACAATGCTCTAATGACTAGCTGAACATAAGTTATATTTGCACAATGGTCTAACAACTAACTACATATATGTTCTACGAGTATTTGTTCAAATTTGTATTAATCATAATTATTCGTGACATCAACATTTCTTCAGTGTTGTATCATAATTATTATAAAACAATAAAGGCTGTACAAAAGTATATTTAAAATGAACTGTCAACTGAGCGAAAATAAATTAAATATAGAGTAACAATCTACGCTTGGCGGAAAAAGTTCTGCGCTTAAGTCTTTTGATTCGGTAAAGCTTTTGTCTAAGTATCTTGACCTTTCACGCTCACTCGCCGCTGAACGTTATGGATTTTTGTGCTTCGTTGCGTGCCAGGTTAATGTACAGACGAAGATACCAAACGAAATATGTAACAAATTTTAAAATATATACAATTCAAATAATAGAGTCAGTTCACTAGTGTCTGGAGTGAGAACTCCGCAACTAAAATGAAGCTTAAAAACTATTTCCATTCTATTCAAAGTGAGCAACGGTAAAGTATAAAAACATGTGTTTGTTCTCACCTGCGGGCAACCACTGCGCTTTGCGTTGGAACTCACTGTTCCACACTTGTTGATAGAGCTTCAACATTTTCTCATCAGATTTTATTTTAGAATTTCATTCATTAAGTTGTGGGCGCAAGCCTCTTTATTTCCACACTCATTTCACACTCATCTAAATAAACTATTAGCTCTCCAAGATATTTTCCTATTCAAGCACTTGGCATTGTTTTTATTTTTCTTCCTCTTTCGCGGCAATTAGTGAAATTTTGTTAGGGTCCAACGACAGCTGTAGGCAGCGCTGAGCATCAACAAGCCGGTGAGTCGCAGAAGAATAGCTAAAGACCGCATAGCGCGCAGAAAGCAGAAGAAGAAAGCACGCAAGCAAATAGATAATCTACAACAAAAACTAATGAGTGAAGACGCATGCGCACATGCGCAGCCCGCTGTCTTTAGCGCCTGAGCGATCGAGAAGAAATCGTCAACGCCAATTGCACCAAGGTACACAAATAGCAATCGGAAGAGTAACAGCAAAAATAGCAAAAACAACATATTGGCTGGAGCATTAGCAAAATACTCAGCGTCATCATTATCATCGCGATCATTAGTGGCGGCGCCGCAGCTTAGAAAGAAATGCCAGTGATTCTTTTGTGCCTTCCTTGACTTGATGCTTCAGTTGTGCCGCGAATTTTGGTAAAAGCGGCCGCTTCTTTCTACTCGCCCACAAAAACTTAAAAGCAACAAATAAAAATATACTTAAAATATTCGATAAATTATAGCGTGTGAATGCCATTGCGTGTTTTAAAAAATGCAAAACTGAAAAAAAAACGAAGTCGGCTCTCGAAAATTATATAAACAAATATTCACCAGTTGTGCATAAATTAATAAAAATTGATTGATGTGATTTGTAAAAAAAACCAAAAATTTAATGACATCGTAAGCCAAGCTGCGTTAAATATTTATAAGCAACAAGCTTAGTGAAAGTTTAACTAAAAATAATTAACAAAGAAATAAAAATCCCATATATTTTTAAACACAAAAAAAATGTCTCGATACAAAATTAAAAATAGTTTATTGCCAATAATATACACGCAAAAGAAATTAATTTTGCTGCTGCAAATAATTTTTGCTGGGCTCTCTGCTGCGCTTACCGTGGATAATCAATTGGTGTCGACGCGAAGTGGTAAGTTTACTAAAAACACATTAAATACATTTATTGTATTTTAATTTCCTAAATCATCCTAACAAGTTTTTAAAAATGTTTCGGTTTAATCAAAATTAACCACAAAATTCTATATTTTAATCATCTAAAAAAGCTTTAAACATTGTTAGAACTTAAAGGAGATATTCTAGTCTAGAGACCCGAATTTCGAGCGTTTTTTGAAAATTAATAAAAAAAATGCATTCGATATTTTTACTATCAATTTTTTGTCATATTTTTATCTATATTTGAAAAGTACACAAAATTAATTGCAAAAAAAAATTTTTTTTCATTGCGTTATGCCTTCTTCAAGTAGGGGGTGGGGAAAAGCCGTGTCTCTCCGCCATGTTTTCTCGAAAACTAAAAAAAATGTGGATTCTTGATAAGTATGAATGTCGGTATCTCAAGAAATCGATTTTTTCATTAATTTTTTAACTTTGTCGAATTTTTTAAAAATATTACAAATTAAAATTTTTAATTTTTTGTTGCTGTTGCTGTTGTAGTAGAGAGATATTTAAAGAATATTCACGCCATACTTCAGGTAAATCGGCTGATTACAACTTGAAATAGTGTGACAACTGCATCGAAAAAAATAGTTTCGAGAAAACCACGTTTAAAGTTTCGTCATCTGCTGCAAGCGGTTCAGTTGCCACGACACTAAAACGGCTATAACTTCGGAAATAATTTGAATTCTGAAAAATACTTTTAGTGAGATATTTTTGAATATCGAAACTATCGAGTTATGATATATATTTTTTTTAATTTCTGGACCAGAATACCAACTAAAAGTGTTCCACAAGTTCATAAATACTTCTCATATTTTTGATTGGAATACTAAAATATTCTTAATATATTGAATTTCGATCCATCAAGCTTATTTTTTACTTTCTGTCTACAATTTTCAAAGTGCAAGGTGCCTCCTCTTTCTATCTACTCCTTTATTCATAAATGATTTCGGTTTAGAAATCACTTAAGGCGCAATATTGTACCTTGAATCTTAGTCGAACAAAAATAACCAAATTTTTAAAGTAATTTAATCTATATTACATACCATCACTTTTTCGGATGTTCAAAAATTTCTATCAAAGTGTTTATTAAAGCTTTGATAACGTCGACATATATCGTTACTCTTTTCTGTCGTCGCGACGCCTAACGAAATACTGCCTCTTAACTATTTTAAAAGATATCATCCCTTGATTATCAAAAAAAAAAACAAAAATTTAGGTTCTACTCGTCTAAACAATAGAAGTAAGAGGACTTAATTTAGAAATCGTCAATTCATCTAATCTCCAGATAGATAATCATTTTAGAACCGGCTGCTTTTATTCGATATTTCTTCAGACATGATTTAGAAGAGGTTGTAAATGATTATTGATTTTGTTCAATCCGACAATTTTTTTGTTCAACGAAAAATATATTTGTGAATTTTGACCGAATGATATTAGCATTTCTTTCACCAAAGTAATTCAGTAGGTTATTGTAAACTCTCCATAAAGTTAACATAGAAACCATCTCGACTGACTATTGCTATCGAATTTCTAACTTCCAGTGAAAAACGCAATAAAAAAGAATGCATTCATATAAGTGTCCATGAAAATACGAAACCAACAAAAAAATGTTGTACACTTAATTCAATTATTTGTTTTTAACAGCTCTGTATTCATTAAATTTGATGTATTTTTAACAACCTGAGCTTAGCAGTGCACACGAACACACAACAGTACTGAACAATTCAGTTCAACAACTTCAATCAACACAAAATATAAGGTGTAAGAGGTGACTGAGATCGTTGTTCATATGTACAAGTATATGTACATTATGTAAACAATATTTGAATAATTTGAATAAAAGCCGAAAAGTAGGAAATTTTGCTGGCAGACTGGTGCGTAGGTTCTGTTGCCATAACAAAAGGAAGTTGTCGGGCTTGACGCAGAGTAATCATTGTTGGTGCGGTAAGGTAATGCGACTATGTGTTAGTTACGCTGTCACTGGCGTTGTTGTTGTTGGCGCTTTTTGTCACCAGCATGGTATTTGGTTGTACTTTTGGCTTTATGTGACCTTATTGAATAATTTATGAGCTGTGGTACAAAAGAGTTAGTATATTATATAACTGATTTATTTGATATGTTCTATTAACGTGCGTTTCAGGAAAAAATTGTCACTTTTAAAAGTGATTGGATTTTTTCAAATATTCTTTTCGTTTAAGGTGGCATATAGAAGTTGGAAAGTGACGAGGTTTTTAAAAACTTTTAGAACACGTGAGTTTTTCTCTGTAGTCATCTCTAAGGCGATTTCACGAATTTTGTTATTTGCTATTGAAAATATGAAATAATAATTTAAATATTTTTGTAATAAATTTGCTTACCAATACATAAAAACTTTTAAATCGAAGATGTCATCTCCACCGTCTATACTATTGCATTCTAAAAACTCAATAACCTCGATAAGTTTCGAATGAATCTAAACCATTAATCATCATTAAAATGTTTTTCGCCTTCAATAGTTGTGTGAGCTATTTACTTTAATGCTTAGGATAGGATAGCTATAGGAATTTTTTTTTTGTCGTTTTGCATCTTTTATGCAACCACGTTTTCAAGCATATTTCTCTAACATTTCCCATGTTATCGTCATTACCAGTGGTGAATGGGATCGAAGAGCAAGTTTTCGTAACTTCACGACTTCACTAAATTTTTGTGCTACTTCCTGATAAAAATGTAATCTCTGCAAAATTTTCAACTCGTCTGAGGCGTGATTCTATGGCAAAGATCACGAGCAAAACATTCCGAGTTGTAAACAAAGAGTGTCATACACACTAATCAACATAGGTGATCGAACTTCAGATGAACATAACAAACGGTTGTCCACTAGGAAAAGATGTCGATTCGGTTTGTTTGCGTAAGGTAGAGTGGTTCAGTCCGAGTCAATTTGATCAGCTGGTATACATATGAATTCCGCATGAGTCTGTAGGTTTAAATGAAAAATCACTTAAAGTTAAAAACACATTTATTTTTATTCAAAGGCTACTAGTTTATCAAAATGCAAGCTGATATGCATAAGTATACACGTATATTGGATATTTGTTGCAAGCATTAAATAAAGTTAAGCTAATTATATTCTTTCAAGGAACTTAATAGCTGCTAAGCATAAAAATAGTGTTTAGTTTATTTGAACTAAATTTGGTGATCTCGAAGCTAACAATGTCTCCTACCACCCTGCAACATATGAACTGTGCGTAAGCGGTAATGAATAACAATTATCTGCTCATATCGGTTATTTGATCAGTGCGTTTGAGCAATTCTGTGACATTGAGAAATGGGGCTCAAGCAAAGAAGAAAAAAAAAAGTAAATAATAAATAAAGACAATTATCATTAAACATAAACACAAGTGTGAGCAAAACAACAACAAAACACACTTAAAAACACGCACTTTGCATTGAAAATCAATCATTCATTCAAAAGTTTTGTTGTCTTTTATGTTGCACGCATTCGTCACACACATTTATGTCATTTATGATGTTGTCACTGTTGTGTCATTTACACTGTGCACATAAACTGCCGTGGTGTCACACAAGGCGCGCGAGAATTTGCATGTAACACACTCGATATGCTCGTCATGCACCAGAAAGTTGCCATAACAACAACAACAACCAAAAGAAATAATAATAACAGCATACATAAGCAAGCACCACGGTTTGTGATAAATAATATAACAACAATAATAACACTTGAAATATTATATGTTAGTAACTGTTGCTGTTGCCATTCATTGTCGCTTTAACTGCGACGCACAGGTTGCTCCAAAAGTTAATTGCCGTTGCTGAGTAATGAGGCCCAAAATGTATCTACTCTCTACCTACAAGACAATTTTGTTTACAAATTAACGGTTTCAGGTTGAAATGTGCGATAATTTTAAGGTTAGCGACAAAGTGTGTATGTTGCTGAAGCATTTAAATAAATGTTGGTTCATTATGTATTTAGAAGCTTGTTTATAAAATAAGAATTTCATATAAATAACGCACGCATTAAATAAACCTGCATGTAGAAATAAAATTATTATGAGAGAACAGCACCAAAAACATTTATAGCACAGATGGAAAGGCTAAGTAGGGTGTAACGAACATTTTATATTCTTGCAACTTGCGAGGATCATACGGGAAACTTTTCAATTAATTAATTTTATAAATATATAAGTTACATATTTACACTGGATGTTAGAATAACGAAAATAATTATATGCGTATATGAGGTTTGGGAATTCGTACAATATCACAGATTTTCGGGATTAAACATGGTATAGTATGCCAATATTATCTGTTCAATTAATTTTGTTAAGATATTAGATATAGGATGACGATATTTGAGTATAAAGTCAATCAGAAGTTATGAAATTATATTTGGTATTTGAGAGATTAGTTCATTATTATGCTTTTTGATTTGAGAGATTGGGATTATTGAACGCTTTATCAATTTTTGCCATTACCACAAAAGATGACTCTGAGTTTCATTAAGGTACCCAATATCCCATAATGACCGATATAAGTAACCGGATGTTTAAAATCCTTATTAGTTATATGGCGGTTAGGACAAGTTTTAAACCGATTTTATCCATTTTATGCACAAGATACATTGTATATAGTAAAATACGCTCTTTAATTTCAGTAAGATAACTCGCATATATGACCGATATTTGTGGTAGTTAGCCGGAGTTCGAAAATGTTTCTATAGTATATGGGGACTAAGAATATGATTTGATTCAAACGTTTTGCACACGGGCATATTGATAACAGTCAAAATTTCTCTGAGTTTCTATATATATGCCTACAAATTTACGAGTTTTCCATAAGGTTCGCAATAGGAATTAGGGTTCATATATTCAGTAACTGGGGACTGGAACAATTTTGTTTCGATTTAGATAATTTTTGGTTATAAGCTGGCACACTTCAATGTCAGTATTCGTGCAAAGTTTTATTCCGATACATTCATTGGTGCTTTAATTTGTATACTGGAAAGTGTGGGAATGAGATGGAGTTTAAAATTGTATACTCACACTACGACATAAGAATGTCAGAATAATGCTACTTTCCTAATTTGGTTAAAATCAGTCGAAAGGGTCCCGAGATATAGGTTTCCATCTAAATGTAGGCGGTGCCACACCCATCGTCTAATTTTGGCCATAGCTTCTATACAAGTATAGCTCTCGCGTACCATCTCGTATGTAAAATTTCATGTCTCTGGCGTATTTATTTATAGATTTATCGCGCTTTAAGTAGTTTTTAATGGATCATTTTCAAATTTGAAAATGAACGAAATCGGTTGACAACCACGCCTACTTACCATATAACAAACTTTTAAATTCTATCTGATTCTTTCACCTTACAGAATACAAATCAAACATCAATACAGTTATTAGAGTAAAAATGTACACAAAAATTGTCGAAATCAGGCTATAACTTTTCAAAAGTGGATTTTTTACCAAACATATGGGTTAGTCTACGAAGTGTAGTATTGAAATTTGGGGAACACAAGAGCTTTATACTTTTATTATACTAATAGCTACCGAGGCTTGTGAAACGATATTGAGCTTGCAAAACAAAAGTTAAATCAAAAATAGTTTTTCATTACAAAAACTAGACTATAATCATTTTTATTTCCCTTTCAGACTGCTTTGAGCGTATCGCTTTGGAGGCTATGCTGCCATTTCAGAAGACATTTCGCACCGAAGACACCAACTCGTTGAAGATGTGCAAGGAGAAGTGCCTACAGGCCGGCGATAAGTGTCAATCCCTTTCATTTGGGTCAGTTAAATTACAGACGTACACATTTTGCAATCTCATTTGCAACCATTGCAACATGCAACTTGGGCATGTAATGCGTGCTGCATTTTTGATTGTCTCGCTTTTCGAAAATCGATTACTTCATCGAGTTAATTTGCCTCTTTTGTTTCTTATTCCCCAGTGTGCATCGACGCGGAAACGGCACTTGTCAGCTGTCAACAGAAAAATTCAGTTTGTCAGGCGGTCGGCCTAGTGGCATTATTTTCGATCCCGATTTCGATTTGTATGCGCGCAAAACGAACTGTTTCGATCTAAGCGACAATACCATCACAGATACAACAGTTGGTGGCAATGATGAAGATGGCTATGGTGGCTTGTTGCCTACACCCACAATTCAGTTACCCAATCGACCGGTGGATCCAGGCACCACTTTACTGGTCGTTGACCCTACCCCCACCGCCGGCTCAACATTTGCAAATGAACGTCCTTCTACTGGCTACAGCCCCTCGCCATCTCCAACTTATGGCACTACGCCGGGTGTGTATACGGACAGCATTAATCCTACATTGGGCGCTACAACACCGAACGGTGACCGTTTGTATTTTTCCCACGACATTTATCCATTGTATAAGTATCCGACACTTTATGAACCAAATTATCCCGCGCCTAATGACGATGTTTATATACCAGGTGGCTATGCTTCAAATGTGCCAGAGGTACATGATAGCTATCGACCACCTGGTCATAACCCCACTGAAGATACGCAAAGTCCTCCACATGGTCCACCGCGTCCAATCTTTGGTTTAGGTTATGGAAATGGATTTAGTTATGGGCGCCCGGAATCATATGATCCTACAACGACACGACCATATGATCAAAGTTCTCAAGCTGATAGAGATCGTGATCAAAATCGACCTGGCAGCTATACAACTCGTCCTGGTCCATATTCCAGTGATCGTCCAGATCGACCTAGTTCTTATCCAAGTGAAAGACCCAATTCATATCCTAGCGACCAGCCCGAAAGACCTGGTTCTTATCCGAGCGAAAGACCCAGCCGCCGCCCTGATAGACCCAACTCTTATCCCAATGAACGTCCAGAGAGACCGGAATCATATCCTAACGAGCGTCCCAGTACCTATGCCAATGATCGCCCTGGTCAAACTAATTCTTACCCTAACGGCCGTCCCATTCCAGCTGACACATATTCTAGTGATCGACCAGTTGGTCCACCAAATTCTTATCGTCCCACGCGACCGGAGTATGACCCTACAACGCCTACGACTTATTACACACGTCCTGAATATGATGGTCTCAATAGACGCCCATCATACGAGCAGCGCCCTTCATCTGCGCTACCCACCACAATGTCCAATGGACTGCGGCCACCGGGTGATTTCGTAGATTACACCAATCGGCCGGATGCATCAAATGGCAATGGTTTGAGTACATCAATGCGCCCACCAATGCGTGAGCCTGTCGGCTATGGTGGTGGATCGAATGTCGATTATGGTTATGTTAGACGAAATGGTACCGCTGCACGTCCAGATGGCGGTTATGATGGTGATAAGACCATAGCAACTTACTTTAATCCGGAGGACTACCTAAGTGGCAACAAAAGTAAGGATTTCTCAGTAGAGTTAAACATAGAAAATTTTCTAATAAAATTTGTTTCCAGGACGTCCAGGTAATGGATATGATGACCGAGATGACGGAAGCTTTAGCATGGATAAGATGAAAGGTAAGTAATAAATTGAAGAAAATAATTACTTAGTGAATTCTGCGTGAAAATTATTATGATGGACCAGCAACGCTTTTGGGGCTCCATACTTTAAGACTGCTTCAATATTTATCTCATCTATGTTGGCCATGAGGAACGCTGTAAAATGCTTAGATGTGGTTATTGGTGATATATGGAAACCTTTAATGGGAAGCTGTTCGAGTTCTTGCCGATTTGCTAAAACATTGGATGCATAATTTTCACTTCAATGTCAAGTGATGTAGCCTTACCTCGTTTGTTTAGTCTAAATAAAATTCTTGCTTTATCTGTAATTTGTCGCGAGTATCAACATTCAGCCTAGCAAGATATTGGTTTTGACTTCGAAGGCTAAAAATCCACAATGAGTCTGAATTTAAATGTAATTTGGAATGTTTGCTGTTGTAAAACAAGAATTCGACTCTGTTCTGTTTATCTCATAAGCTTTTCCGTTAATAGTGACGAGCTGTGAACTCTTCATTTCTCTTCCACTTTTCCAATTTCTGAAGTCTCAAAAATTTATTATACGGTCTTGGTTATGTTAAAAAATTTCTTGAAATCTGTAGGAAATCTATCTATGATCTTAACAGTTCTTTATTCAAGAGCTCTCGGATTTTAACTTTGACCTTTTTGTTATTTTGTTTCTACATCTTTGCAATCTCGGATATGATTCTTGATCCCATGTAACAGTGTAATTTCCACTCTTTGGTTGTCCTAAAAACTCATCCGAATGCAGGAGGCTGAACTCTACATGTGTACATAATCAAGGATACAATAGTTAGGTTTATTATTTCAGTCTTTCCAGAACTCAATACTTTCTTTAACCTGACTTCTTTTACTCTCTAGAAGTGCTTAAGATAACGAACCTTTCTTTTGGATTCCGGGTTAGGTTAGGGTAGGTTAAAAGTTGATTAATTCGGCTAAGAACCCCGTTGTGTAGGAGAAATTACCTGTATATTTCCACATCATAGTGCTTCATACAACTTTGACAATTTGAAACGAACAATACTTTTGTTGCAGATTGCGGCTAAGACCTAGTAGTTCAGTGGGTATCTAGTGATCTACTCTAGGCCTCACGTGAAATCGATAGATCTACCGTTAGAACGCAAGGAGACAACGAAGACTCAACTCGTTCCCAATTCGATGTACAGTAATTGGAACAAGTGTGCCTCCTCTTGTGAACTCATCCGCTTTGCAGTTTCTAGCGGTTCCGCTATGATCAAGTACCCAAACGAGTCTGATAATGAAGCAGCTTGATGCTATTGCTACCGAGGACAGGCACAGCTTATCAATAGCATCAATCTAATTCATTCTCACACTCGTCGGTTCTCAGCTCTTGGATGAATAAAACGTACTGATATACAAAAACAGATTTAAGATTCTCTGAAAAAAAAGTTGAACAAATTTTTACTGAAACTATTATTATTAAAAAATAGAACTAAAAACTTAATTAAACTAATTTCGAAAATTATATATTCAAAATGCACGACTAAATGGTATATTCATACGACCTCTGAATGCATTTCGCTAAAATCGTTTACTCCTAAAAATTTCCAATTTAACTTTTCGACGTTCAATAGCGAGAAAAAACTTAATTGAATAAAATTACACCCACAAATTAATGTGATAATTTGCAATTTAAACCCTCTAATTCATAACCGTAATAAAGTGATAATTCACATAATTGCAAGACTAACCGTATTATCATACTATTATTAGCGAGATAAAAGTTTTTACTTTCAAAACAAAAAATAATTAGCATGCCAAATTCTATAATCCCTTCTAATCACCAATTTGGCACAACTTGCAGAGTCAAAAACAATAACAAAAACAATGAATTTGCATAAAGAGAATAAATTTAATCGCATTAAATGCAAATTTGGTGCACATTTACCGTAACACATTGTAACTGTGATTGCGTTTGGCACCCGCCAACAACCTTTGATCACTACAAAATGAGGAAAAAATGCAGAATTGCACTTTAGAGATCAAATAAATTGCAAAAATGGTCACTGAACTGACCCACATTGTGTTTTTATTTTTGCCTTCTCATTTCATTTCAACTTCAAAAACTTAGAATATTCGCATCTGATTTGCTGGTGTAACAAATACAATCTATGTAAATATGTAGGGATACTGTATTTATTTACTTGTTGTAACGAGTGATCGACGCGGCGGATTTTACTCACAATGTATATTTGCTTAATGGCGCGCTAGTGGCTAGTTTCCACGGCTACTAATATGGTGCATTCGTAGTAGAAACCTTGCACAATTAGTGGTAACTAGTTCCAGGCTAGTTCGATTCGGACTATGCTTATATTAGAAAAGAAGCTATAAGACCCCTCACAAGTGAGTTTCTTATAGCATAAAAGGGTATAAGAAGATCTTTGCTAAAGAGATCCGATCTGAACAAAATTCGGAGATTGTATCGTTGCTTTCAGATCGATATCTCAAAAACTGAGAGACTAGTTCGCGTATATACAGATAGACAGACGGACATTAGGGTATAAGGAAAACAGTTTTTCACGACAAATATATTAATTTAAAGTTTCTCCAATTATATTCTATTTAGATCTATTTCACATAATTTTAATATTTTCACTTTAATTTTTTTGAAAGGTCGCAACTCTAATGAAAATGTCTAACTTAAAGATTTCACGAATTATTCACGTTTTATATCTATATTTAGATATGATATATCTGTGAGCTGGCACCCAAACAAGTCTAATACGGAGAAAGGTAGAAGCTACTGCTATTGGGGTCATACATTCCTTGATTAGTTTTGAACGTACAGTTAGTGAGCTCAAAGCGAGCTCTGAAGGAAGGTGTACTTCGGAGCGGGACATCCACGCTACAGTGGTATGGTTGCCTGAGGCCAGATTTAATAGAGAGCTCAAGACAAAATACTCCACCTGCTACCTCCCTCTTTACTTCTATACATCCGTGAAAACGCCAACCAACGGCTTCGCCCCACCCACAAATCGCTGGCAGGTGTTTGAGCAGAGTAGGAACCGCCAGGAGAAAATTCAGTGATGTAGTGAACTACATAGATTGTTTGCAATAAAATCGAAGTAGTGTAGAACTTTCGTATGTTCCTGCTGGTACCCTATATACGTCCAGCTAGTTTTAGGCTAACACCAGCNGATTTCACAGAATGATTCCTCACTATCTCCGCAATGTTTGACTTCCATGAAAACTTACCATTAAGGATAAACCCCAAGTACAGAAATTTAAAATACCATGAAATTCTTCTACAGAAATCAAAATTTTGTGGGAGACACTTGTTTCATGGCACTCGAAAAATTCAATTAACACTAGCTCTCAACTGGTACCGAAGTAGTTAATTTATCTATAAATGTGCATACATATTTTCCCAACAGTTTGAGTTAGTTAAAATTTATAAACTGTTTTTGTGCTCGAAATGTGTAGAATTTGACTTTTATAATTGCAAAGTAGCTATTAAATAAAAATGCGAATGCGGCAGCTGCCACAGCTACACCCCTGTGTATTCTAAATACATATGTATGTGTGTGTGTGTGTGCAGAGCTAAAACCACATTTAAATTACCGGCATTGACTGATTGATCGTTGAAATTACCCGATTGTGAACAATAAAATAAATTCCACTTGTGCATTTTTTGTGCCGATTTTCGAACACAAACTGAAGTTTCGAATGCAATTAGAGCGCAAATTTGGGGTTTTGCGGTTCTTAAATTGTTGTTGAAACAATTAAAATTTAAAAATGTTGGCTGCAATGGGAGTAACTAAATAAAATATAGTTGGAACGATTGCTGAATAGGACACATTTTTGTGATTTTTTAATTAACAGTATGGGGTAGGGGCAAATTATAGTGCTGTGTGGTTACTAGATAGCTGATGAAGTTATTAAAAGTCGCCACGAAATATGTAAATATGGTGTATAGTGTGTATATAAATGCTTAAGTTTCATTTTAAAGTTACATAGATAAAAGTAAGTTAGATCAAACTTACTAAAGTTGGCTAGTACGGAAGGAAATAGTTTAAATATTTGAGACTCTAAAGCCGTTCAATTCCTAACTTCGAGCGCACTGGCCTATTGAGTAACCTCTGCAAAATTAAAAACAGCTACTAACCTCACTTCAGTGATGCTGCCATATAGAGTTACCTCCGCAGCCTTATAAAATTAAAACGATTAAACACCTCTGAAGCTTTTTCTTGCTTCAATATCATTTTTCACGTTACAATTTTACCTTCAAATTAGTTTTAAAAGTCTAACAAATACCTTATATAAAATTACAAACAAATCATTAAATACCTAAGGTTTTTTCTCCAATTAACATATCTATTCGTAATTACTCAGCAAAATTGTCTTTATAAGCGGAAGTTAATCGCCATAGACCTGTAAACTTTAAGTTGAACTTTTATCTTTGCGATCGCAAAGCAACAATTCAAAATTTCTTAGTCCCAAAACCATGCAGACAAAACACATAAAAATAATCAAACTAGCTGCTCAAGTTGAATGACTCATTCATAGACAAAAACCAACAGCATAACAAAGCACCAAAGCTTTTAGAAAATATGAGCTTTTTATGCCAAATTCAAAAGTGTGCACAAGCCAACTGAGCAACATACAACCGACAACAGCCAACAATGAAATTGCTAAAAAAATTTCTCAAGCAAAAAAAAAAATTTGTTCATGATAATGAAGTTGTTTGCAATTAATCAGTGTCGATTTTTTTTTTCTTAGAACTAAAAGTGAATTAAAACTGTTGGTCACAACATTTGATGATCTTTTGTTATTATTGTTAGTTTTTTTTGTTTTAACTAAATAAAAGCGTTTTTATGAGAATTACTGTCTGCATGTGGCGGTTGCTGTATGACTTCATAAACGCTGCGGCGAAAATCATTATGTTCACAAAACATGTGTATGTGTAAAGTTCACATATGAGGCAATAGTGATTAATATTTTATTTTGATTAACATATGATTTGTTCTAACCTAAGTCAA